GGGGGAGAGGGGGGGGGGAGGACGACACATGGCTTTTGGAGGGTGGAGAACGTGAGAGCTGTTCAGGTAGAATCCCTGGCCAGATTAAAGAAGCAGATCAGAATAGAAATGATGGAGATCGAACGTGAAAGGAGGAAACAAGCAGGTGCATCATGAAAACGACAACCCTACCGTCTTCACCCGATTAGAATGCACGGTCATTGTACGGTATTTGGGGCAACTTACAGCCATATTCTACTCTGGAGAAGACGGTAGGCAGAAGGATGAGGAGCAGGAGGATTAGCAGGAGGAAGGGGAGCAGGAGAAGCAAGAGAAACACGGCGAGGGAGGAGGATAGGAGGAAGTGGAAAAGGGCAACTTTCAGTCTAGGCACAGCCATAATGCCCGTAAGTTGGATTAGGAGGAGGAAGGGGAGAAGGAGAAGCAAGAGAAAGACGGCGATGGAGGACGATAGGGGAGGAGGAGAAGGAGGAGGAGGAGGAGGATGAAAGAAAGGGGAAAAGGGTAGGATGCTCTCTCTGGAATTTAGTCATTGATCTCTATTCATCATCGGGCGTCGTCATCACACGCAACCGTCAGATCCAGAAAAAAATCAATCAAGGCATACTCACACGAGGACTTTTTCGACTGAGCTGTGGAAGTGATTCCCGTCAGATGCATCCTGGCGTGGCCGTAATAGCAGTCAGATACATTGAGGAAATTGTGTTCGTGTGAGAGTACCCTCAAAGATCCATATACTAGTATATTTCAATAACATCCACTCAAATAGCCTGCCTGCCTGCCTTCGATCCCTACATTCCCTACCCCTGACACGTGAAACGCCGCCATCTTTTCAAAATGCAAGCAAAAAGTGGTATCGGCTTTCCCTCTCAGGTGATTGAAGTGTACACATTGTAGCTCCCAAAAAAAAAAAAAAAACTCACGAATAATATTTCGTGATGATGACGACCAGGCAGCGGCAGACTGCCGTTCTGCTAACACAACGACATTTTTTTCAAAATGAAAACTGAGAAAAAATATTCAAAAATAAGCATAAGAATGGGGATCTGTTTCGAGACGGAACGGTGACCAATCGTTATTTTTTGTTTTCTCTCTCTTTCGGTGGACCACCGATCAGATCATATTTGACTGATCAGAACAGATACAATGCACTTGATCTATTTTTAGCCAAAAGGCCGAGAATCGAATTTGAAAGAAGGAAAAATAAAAAATAAAAAAAAGGCCGAGAAAGGTATGACGCACAACTCTTTTATTTTTTTGCATTGAGGGGGTAGCCCTAAACATTATTGTATTCATCATTATTTGATGAGTCCCGTTGGTTGAAGATTCGAACTCGGGATCTGTCTACTAACAGTCACATGTGTGTACCATTCGGCCACATACGCCTAAACATTGTTGCATTCATTTTGACGAGTCAGTTGTGTGTACCATTCAGCCACATGGGCCAGGTACCGCACAAATTCTAAGGAAATTGGACCTGTTAAAATAGAAGGAAGAGGAGGGGTTGGGGATCAGGAGAAAGGAAGTGGGGGGG